AAATCCAAGATGGCTTTAGCATTACATCTCTTAAACTGGATAAGTTGGARAAATAAGTAATGTGCTGACTTACATTTTGGTGTGTAGCTGTGTATTGTTTATACATTGCTTAGAAGTATAGTTTCTTCAAATGATTGAGGTGGCCAAAGATCAATCTATGGTAGACAAGGCCACCATTGCCCACCCCCTTGATCCGCCATTGTGCCTGGTGGTGAGTAAAATTGCTCCCTTTCCCCGACAAGATACATCACTCTGCTACACTTTGGGGGAAAAAAAATAAACTACCTCTCTTCTTGTACACACTATAAGTCATACCCACTAAAATATGGTGCACCAAAAACAATAATATTTACTTCCCTCTTCAATTCTAGTTTAAATCCCTCAGAGATGGGGAACATCATCGTACCAYTTGTTAATAACCCAATTGATTTAAACATTTTTTCCCTCATTATTTAAATTTATGTAATGTTTTCAGTTTTGCAATAATTGCAGCCATACAAATAGATTTTAAAAAGAAAAAGAAAATCTCTGAGCTGAGTTTTAGGTGCTCAGGTCTCGACTGCAACACCACTGATGCACACTCTGTATGTGTGTGTGTGCAGGTCTGAGGCAGGTGTGTCCGGGGAGAAGGGTCAGGTGTCCAGTGCTGCAGATGAGTGTCGCAGCTACATCTCCAGTAGACCCCCCCAGACCCCCGAACAGTGAGTGTCCACCCACCAGCATGCTCATAAAACATCCTCCACCCAGCTCTCATTTCTCTGCTCACATTAGGAGAAAAAAAAAACCTCTCTCTGTCTTTTTCCCCCTGTCCTTTTGTCCATAAACATTCAAAATCTTTCCTTCCCTTCTGTGCACCGCCAGTGACGAACAGATCCCGGGTGCTCTTCTTGGCAGGAAAGACTTCTGGAGGAAGATGTTCAAGTCTCAGAGTGCCGCCAGCGACACCAGCAGCCAGTCAGAGCAGGACACCTCAGAATGCACCACAGCGCACTCCGGCACTACCACGGACCGGCGCTCCCGATCCAGATCCCGCCGCATCTCACTGCGCAAGAAACTCAAACTCCCAATAGGTTAGTGTATGTYGAATCACAACACCTCTGATGGCCGTGGTTGTTATCAAAAATCACGCCTGATTCTCAAAATGAAGTATTAGGGCCACACAGGAAAAAATAAACCCATAACCAGGAAGGCTTTTTTGAAGTCATACAAGTGCAAATTTTATTGACAGAAAATCGTCAGTGTCAAACAAATTAAAAAAAGCTGTCTTTCATAGTTCATAACCAGAGTAAGTGATCCTCAATGTGTTTCCAAATCTGACAGTATTTGTTTAAAAAAATTTTTGTTAGTTGGATTTATTATGAGGGTTGCCTGGTAAAAACCAGCCCCTTGTTCTTCTCTTTGCTTCGTACAGAGGGTCTGGACTCTCGGCTATTGAGGAACGATTTCTTGCTGGAGGCTGTTAAAGTTTAAAATTATTGGACCTGATTTTACCCAATCGCTAACGTTTGGCCGTGATGTAGTGCGCCAGCTCGACCATGAAGAAGGCTAAGATACGAAGCCAACCAGAAATTGTGTGCACTGTAAACAACCATCCAATACTGGGAAGAGTGTATGCCAATATAAATGGATAGTAGTTATGGCGTTACATTTGTGCCATCAGCTTGAGCGTGCAGTTACACTGATTTGAGAGCAGATATCAATGTGAACAAACAATAATTTGAACCGTGTGCGTTCAAATCACACACACGCTCACACGGCTCCCTCCCTGCTTGCTCAGCTCTCTTCCTGCTTGTGCTCGGCTCCCTCTCTTCTCTCAACTTCCCCTCTGCTCGCTCGCAGCTCTGTCTCTGCGCTCACAACCCAAGTTGTATGTAAATGAACCACATCACCAGCCAATCAAAGACAGGGTTTTTTTCATCCAATCAAAGCACTTAWTGCAAATCTACTAAACCAAGAGGCTAAAGTGAAAAAATCTTAGATATTAAATCAAATTGTGACGTCTTTGTCAATAAAAATGTGACTATTGTTAATTAAACAGCAATCTTATCCTGTACACTTTTTTTTTCTTGTGTTTGGCCCTCATACTCTGTTGCAAGGTTAATGGTATTAAAGCTGATGACTTGTTTGAGCAGCGGTACACATTTTCATGCTCATATCTCACTCTGTTATGCTGTGTTCTGTTTGTCTAACATCGCAACCCTTCCTGCCGAGAAGTCCAGTCAGTTCATCACTTTGGTCTGTTTTTTGTTCCCTTTCTTGTGCCATAGCGTGCCGTGGGACCACCCGCCTTCCTCTCACTCGCTCTGTCCTGCGTATGTTGGACATAGACACCATCTCCACACAGTGTTTGTCTCATTTTTTGTCTGTGGTGGTCACCCTGTGTGCACGATGTTGACTCAGACTACCATATTTTTTTTTGTTTTGTTTTTTTTGCAAATTGTTCCAGTTGATCAATAGCCCGTATAATTTTGCCCCTACAATTTATAAAGTGACATTTTGTTTAAGTTATGGAAGGCCTTGCCTTTGTACAGGCCTCCTCATTAGTTGCTTTCATCTCTTAAAACCCACTTTTATTCACTGGCTTTTGTTACAT